TTGTTGTTGTCATCGTTTTTGTTCACGAACCTTAGCAAGGACATCAAAACTAGCAAACAGCTGGTTGAGAATCCGGACAAGGTCCGCGGCTGTGACACTGGACGAGATGGCGGTGAAGCCCACAATGTCAGCGTACAGGATGCTGGGGAAACAGAGAGAGGAAAAAGTGCACATATTGCACTTAACTAGAGAAATTAATATTTCAAGGTGTTAGAGTGGAGCTGCTGACGTGCAAAGACAAAACTACATGTAGTGATTGATTGATTAATTGATTGATTGATTTAAGCGTGGCAACTTCGCTGTCAAACAATAAGAGGTGTTTCATTTTGCATTCATTGACACTTTTTTCTTGTTGTTGTTGTTGTTTTTGTTTTGTTTTGTTGGTTTTTTGTGTGTGTTTTTCTGTTTGTTTGTTGTTGTTTTTTGCGGATTACTGCATCGCATAGAGGTTTCTACAACCCTGACATATTCACGCAATGGCGCTGTCCTCAAGCCCCATGTTTCACCCTACTACTTTTTATAATATCAGAAAACGTAATTAATAGGCATCATGGTGAAATCAGGCGCTCGTCAAAATAGGGAAATCCAAGAATACGACATTTTCCCGACCGCCCGGAAATTTTGTATCGATTTGTTTTGTGCTCAACTTCTTTTATGTTCATTGAGCAACAGATTCCTGCGTTGATTCTACTGAAAAACGTCCATAAAAGACTCCCAAAAATTTGAATTTGCCATTTCGAAGAACACTAGAACTGTGGACTCCACCAAAACTTGACAGCATTTTTCTAACAATTTTTTTTACCTCTAATAACATGTGACTTTAACCTCCTTCAGTAGCAAATATCTCAACATCTAGGCCTATTCAAGATAGGTGGATAATATCTTGGGGCTTTTTTCATCAAAAGAAAGGAAAATAAAAAAGCTTTCAGAATATAGGAATAACTCCATATTATTATGCCAAAAAATTGACGTGCGCTTGATTTCACAGCGTCGTGGCATATAATTTATTATTCGATATTCATCTCGTTTTACACTTCCCTTGTTGAAACCGAATACTTCTGCGGGGAGATGACTTGGAAAACCCTCCTCATTCATAATCGATGACGTAGACATATTATTATTCGAGAGTCATCCCGTTTTTCTCTTCCCTTGTTAAAACCGAATACTTCTCCTGGGACATGACTTGAGAAACTTTTTACATTCGTAATCGAAGATGTAGACATTGTTCGGAGTTCTAGGCTTGGCCTGTCTGTCTCAGTAACCACGGAGAATATTATTTAGCCGTTCCAGTGACTGTCATTTTTCTATTGTTGTGTAGTTAAACATCTCAAGACTTCCTCGACGTATGCATACGCAACACCTCATCTTTAAATGAGGTGATATCCTTCGCACTGTTTCCATGAGGTCCAGAGAGAGAGAGAGAGAGAGAGAGAGAGAGAGAGAGAGAGAGCGGAGAGACAAACAGATGAGGCGGACACACAGATAGACAGGGAGGCAGGGAGACTGAGTGGTAGAAAGAGAGAGGGAGAGAGAAAAAATATTGTGTGTGTGTGCGCGCGCGCGCGCGCGCGCGCGCGCGTGTGTGTGTGTGTGTGTGTGTGTGTGTGTGTGTGTATGTGTATGTGTGCGTGTATGAGAGATAGATGGATAGAAAGAGTTCGGGGAGAGAGAAGAGAAAAGCAGTCTTGGCCGGGAGAAGGGGGAGAGGGGTGAAGTGGGAAAACGATTTTTTTATTTG